AACACCACCTCATACTACACGGCTAATGAAGGCATCTGTTGTGGGATCCCACAGGATCTCTAAAGCTCATTAGACTCTGATAATAATACCCAGCATCTATCAGCAGCTTATTATTAATTATCTTGGGGGGGGGGGGGATGTTTGTGATGCAGAGAAACAGAAAGCTTATCTTCTTTCTTTTGAACACGAATCCTCATAAATAGGCCTTCGGGTAACTCGATAAGTTAATATGACAAACTTATCGAGAGGTTACTACTTCTCAGAGGGGTTCAGTGTCGAATATAGTGGGGTGGAAGAGGCGTGTAGTGAGGTGGAAGAGGAGTGTAGTGGAGTGGAAGAGGCGTTTAGTGTGGTGGAAGAGGCGTTTGATAAGAAAGTAAACTCGTGTAAAACAGTTCCCAATTTCAAGTTGTCCAGTAACTGATGATCTCATTAGTATCTCATCATTCTAAAATATTCGCTCGAAGCCCGCTCAAAAAATAGAGTATCAGTGTATTCCCAGGGTTGTTGTAGTAAATAGTGTCCTGTCACCAAGTTGTTCACTAAAACCTTTCTCGGAAAGTTATCGTTGCGTTGTGATTATACTTGCTTTTTTCTTTAAGTTTAGATACAGTAATTCCTGCTTCTCATTAAGTTCTTGTAACTAGTCAATGCTAATTGATGTGACTGACCTGTCAACAACGTGGACTAAGTGTTGTTGTCCAGAGCTCACCTGTACTTACCAGCGTAGTAATTGCTCAACAAACTGACCGAACTTTCGAGGAGCTTGTGCCCGCGGGGTTGTCATGTCTTTATGTGTTTTATTTCTTGTAACTGTACTTTATTTGTTTTATTCTGCTTTTATAGGGTAGTTTCCTTTAAATATCATACATACTAGCAGGAACGCGTATAACCCTAAAACGGTGTCAAGACTCAAAAGACTAAAATAATTATTACCTATTTAATTCACGTTTTTGACACCACTTGGGGGTCCAAATTTTGGGCTCTAAAACTCCTATTCCTTGTCCAATTTTTTATTTTTTCATGCTGATTTGGAGGCCATTAAAGCATTTGCTGAAACCATCAAAAAGGTTTCAGCTGTATATCTTTTACGGTTTTTGCGGAAAGTGAGGACTCTTCAACTACATTAAATTAATTCCTTCTGTAACGTCCTCAATAAATGTAATAGATTTTTAGTGTTTTAATTAGTTTACATTCTTAATAAATGTAATATATTTTTAGTGTTGTAATTGGTTTAAAAAATAATCACTTTAACAAGTATAATGGCTTATTTGGCGTTTTATGAAATCTGATAATGTTCATCTTTTTGTTGAGAGCTCTCTTTGAATCCCCATAAACAAAGCAGGTATTTATCAAACACCTGGCTGGTAAAACAGCGCTGCACTTTTTAAAAGTCAGGTTGATATCGTTATTGTAGTAGGCAGAAACTATTCATTTTGACAGCACGTGCACATACAATATGCACGTGCACATACAATATGCACGTGCACATACAATGTGCACGTGTACATTATCACATCACTTCCTTAGTATTTCCCAGTCGAACACAATGAGTCGCCTTTTATCTAACTCTTGTAAACTAAGTTGGTAAGTGCGCTGAATGTTGACGACACATTGTGTGTGCGATATTAGGTAATCGTAATAGCTAACAGTTTCTCGGGTGCCCATTAGTTTACCTGCTCACAAGAGCAATTCCGGGTATTAGCTTATTGGGCAGTCTGTTACTGTATACATGTTACGGTAACTGACCGGAAATAAAGCTTTGTGACGGCTCTGGACAACCAGACTAATATTTTAATACCTTTACTTGGTCATCAGTTTTATAGTTTTCTTTCTTCATCCAGTTCATCTAGATTATATGATTGGTAATCTAATATTTTGGGTGCAAAATACTGCCAGCGGAGCAGGGGGGGGGGGGGGGGGGGGGACGAATGCCAGATCTTTTGTTTGTTTTGTTAAGAATTATTTTAGGTGAACCAACAATTCAATGAATTGACTCCAATTCAGTTAATTGTTTAAGAATGTGATTGGAGAGTGTGAAGTTTGATCCTCATTGGAAACGTCTTGTTCCTACATAACTTGCTGTTACTGTAGTGTCTGTCTCGCTGTACCACTTGCTGTTACTGTAGTGTTACCACTTGTTGTTGTTCAATAGTACTTGTAGCTATTTCTACTTCTCCTGTTCCACAGGACGGAACACAATCGTCAACTTCACAAACCGCACCAAACGCTTAATAGTACCAGAAGAACTGGATCAGACTGGCGTAACTTAGCGCATTAACACATTACATATGCAGCCTTGCCTAACTGATTTATAAACTCATCTGGTACCAAAGCGCGGTATTCCCATTCAGATCATTACCACCACCGTCCTCCACAATTCACACTGTTGTCTCCGATAAACCCCCCCTCATCCCAGAGGTAGGCAAAGCATCTTAATGCTATCCTCTAGTGGGCTTTCTATGCCCAGCCTCTCTTTAAATAAAAAAAAAAATATTAAAAAAAAAAGAAAAAAAAAAAAGGACGGAACACCCCGGTACACAACAACAAAGCATTATACTTTAATAATAACTTCAATAATAACACGTACACAGTGTGTTACAACTCACAACACAGCTGTCACGCGACCATCAGGTGTTCTTTTTCTTAGCTTAGGGTGCGAATTTAACGAAGGTAATAAATAATTGTAAATTTAGAGTTCTAAGACCCAAATTTCCGTGCGTTTCGATTTTCACTGGTCCTCGATTTGGCTCTTTATTATAATACGTCTCATTAGAGAGCAGCGCAATTTGTGTCGTATAATAGCACGTACACAGTACAGGACACAGGTGTGTATATTGAGACAACTTCACGCGCATCATGAGACGTCAACAATTAATGAAGGAATCCTACCTAACCAGACATCATGATGATCTACTAGGGGGGGGGGGGGGGGGGGGCGGGGGTGGGGGGGGGGGGGGGGGGGGGGGGGGGGGGGGGGGGGGCTCTACTACCATACAGACTGTCACGTCTCCGGTTACAGTTTGGTGAAAAGTTGGAACATTGTCACTCACAACTTTTAAAAGTATGCGTTGTGGGGAAACATAAGTGTAACTGGTCAACGATAAGTTAAAAAAGAGAGTTTTTTCGAACATTTCGATAAAAATCATTTTAATAAAGTCAAATTCCAGTTAATGAGAAAAACTTAACTTTACTGTTACTAAAAAATGTCATTAATTTTCAACTTTTACCTCCATGAGGAGTGACCTCATGAAGTTAATATTTAGATAATTAAAATAACTATTAATATTCCTTGACATCATTGCTTACTTTTTGTAGCTAATTCATTAGTCGCTGTTCATGGTGTAAAAATTAAATTACAATTGTTCAAAGCTTTGATAAATGTACACTCATTCGATGGGATGCAACTTTTAACTAAATTTTAAATTGTTACTTTTAGTTTTCTTTGTTAACATGACTAAGCCCGGGAATGTTGCAGGATGTCTAACTCCAGTAGCTATGACGGAGTGTGTTCCTCTCAGTTTGAACACTATCTTCTCCTCCTCGTTATAATGTTCGTCTGTGTGTTCGGCTTCATTGGCAACACCCTCGTTACCATAGCAACCATGTATCGTAAAGCCTTCAGCGGTGACAATATATCCATAGTGTTTGTGAGGAACTTGGCGATTGCTGATTTGTTGTACATATTGATACAGGTATGTTTAATTATTGTACAATATAACACTGGTATAATTCAAACTAACTTAATTAGCTATTAACGGGCGGGAAAGCTAATTAAAATAACCTACACTAGTATACAACTATTGCTAACAACAGTGTGTGGACATATATTCGTCAGTTCTGTGCGCGAGTTTGCGTGCACGTGGTATTGTTTGTAACACTATACATCTGACTAACTCCCCCCTCCGCAGGTAGTCCCGGACATTGCAGTACGTTTAAACTCCCACCAGTGGATACTAGGGCCCACGTGCTGCTTCATATCCGCGCACGCAGTTTACATACCCGGGGCCGCTAACATGGCCTTTATCTTCTCCATCTCCCTCTACAGGCTCCTCTCCTGCAAGTTCCCCTTCCAGTTCAGGGAGACTATAAGTATCAAGCAAGCTAACGTGTTCAGTATAGTAGTGTGGGCGTGGTCAGTGGTACCTAGTGTGGTGTACCTGTGTCATAACACTCAGGCTGTATTCCAGCCTCTCACTTCAGACTGTGAGGTAGTGTTCCAGAGGAAGGGACTGGTTAACCTCGTTATAGCCGGCCCTTATGTTGTAGTACCCTTCCTGGGCCTCATCACCTGTAATATCTGGCTCTATTGTATCGCCAGGAAGTCCGCTGCTCGGCTTGGTAAGTCTGCTCGACAGGCTCTTGTTACAATTGGAGCTGTCTCTGTTCTCTTCACTGTCTCCTGGCTGCCCTATATTGCCAGGAAGATTGTCATGATTGTAACTAAGAAGGATCTGAACTGGCCCATGAGACCTGATATCATGTTTTACGAGCTGAGTATCTTTGGTAACCCCATTATCTACACTGTTGTTAACGAAAGGTTTAAGGTTTTCTTAAAGAATCAACTGTTTTCTCTCATTAAACCCGGTCAACCTACAATACAGTTTTACACAAACTCACAATCAGAACTGCAATCCCCTGCTCGGAAATCAAACAGTAAAACAACGCTGGGGAATCAGGTTGCTAAGGGAACGCTGGGCAATCAGGTTGCTAGTCCTTTCAAGTGTTTTAAAGATAACAGAGTTAGTAACGACACTATAACTGTGCAGCCCCTTGATCAATCTTTCTTGAACAATTTACGGCAGAACGAACAAATTCAGCATTCGGCAAAGGGAAAATCATGAACTAAATGTTTTTCATTCCAATACTGAATTGTCCTTTCGATATTCGCACAAACTTTGATTTGTTGCTTTAAACTTTTAAGCTTTTATGGCATAGCAAAGGTCGGTCTTTCAAAGCATATTATATTATAGCCATTTATGATTTAAAATCAGAGATGTTTATACAATGAGCTTGAAGAAACAGAGACTATAACTTACTAGATCAGGAACAGTGACTGTCGACGTTCGTTTAGAGTGATGATTTGCATTCCTGAGCACTGGCCGGTCCTTGTGACAGTTCGAGTATATCTTCCTAGTGTTGAAGATACAGAAGGAGGGTTTCAGCTGTCTTGCGTCGGCGTATGATAGGGACCTGAGAAATATTGATATTTAGTATAATATTTAAGTTTTACTTTTATTCTTACTGTATCTATTGCATTTTTTTGTTACTTTTGATACCTGATTTCTGATTGTTTGGACAACTAAAAAGAATTTGATATGAATTAACAAGTAGAAGCCCTAACTACAGTTCGTTCTAATGAGTGGTATTTAAGGGGCCGGGGGGGGGGGGGGGGGTCTTCATCAAAATTCTCTCGAAATTGACTTTATAGTTGTTTCTGATAGAGGGGAGTTATGTCTATCAGCTGTATTTGATCCCATGGAAAAAAATTGTTCCTAGCCGAAATTATTGCCGGTCAAAGGTCAGCGCTTATTTGTAATTGTAATTTGTATTGCACGAACGATTTTCAATCGCGCGCCCTGAAAATCGAGTCTAAAAATCTATCTTCTCCTACATTTGTTGAGCAATCACCCTGAAACTTTCAGGATATGTTCTAAGGACCATTTAGAAGAGATTGTCAGGCCAGAATTTTAAGATAGGCCTTAGAAAATTTGTTATTAAATTTTAAAAATCTTGGACCTGTAAAAATCGTCAAAAAACGGCCTCCTTAAATGTACTTATGTAGGGGGGGGAGGCAATATTGAAAAGAAAGCTACTGGTGAAACACCTGTAACATAAAGTCTCTAACGCTCTGTAACGCTCTAGTTTAATAATTAAGTTAAGTAAGTACAAGCTGTGTGTAATGTAACGCTATGTAACGCTCTAAGTAAGTACAAGCTGTGTGTAATGTAACGCTCTGTACCGCTCTAGTTTAATAATTAAGTTAAGTAAGTACAAGCTGTGTGTAATGTAACGCTCTGTAACGCTCTAGTTTAATAATTAAGTTAAGTAAGTACAAGCTGTGTGTAATGTAACGCTCTGTAACGCTCTAGTTTAATAATCAAGTTAAGTAAGTACAAGCTGTGGGCGGTTGATAAATACGTTTTTATATTATAATTAATCAATACTGTAGAATATAGATACTGTCTGTGGTGGTAAGATGTATTTCCTAAATGTGCCAAATCAACTGAGGACCATCTCCACCAGAAAACATATTATAATATAATATATTGTTGAGGACCAAGGAGGGTTGGGTAATTGTTCGGAGCGTTAGAAGCGTGTTGAGATTACCGGGATGCTCCACACAGCATTCAGCAAGCTATAATTAGATTACACGTGTTTCATAACGGGAGGACGTTGTATGTGGGTTTTGTATAGCCTGGTACGTGACTTTAGTGACTTTTGTCGTGTGTCTGTACAAAGCTTAGAGGCTTTGTCACATTGTGTACTACATTGGAATGCCAAAAACTCGCTGTTTGTCAGTTCAGAGTACTATTGTCTGTTTATTATTACTGTTTATTTTACTTGTACTCGTCCATCTGGCTGACCCTTTTTGAAATTTCTCACACGTCATCGTACAAACTGAGCGTTTGTGCAGTTCCGTTCACATCGTACAAACTGAGCGTTTGTGCAGTTCCGTTCACATCGTACAAACTGAGCGTTTGTGCAGTTCCGTTCACATCGTACAAACTGAGCGTTTGTGCAGTTCCGTTCACATCGTACAAACTGAGCGTTTGTGCAGGTCCGTTCACATCGTACAAACTGAGCGTTTGTGCAGTTCCGTTCACATCGTACAAACTGAGCGTTTGTGCAGTTCCGTTCACATCGTACAAACTGAGCGTTTGTGCAGTTCCGTTCACATCGTACAAACTGAGCGTTTGTGCAGTTCCGTTCACATCGTACAAACTGAGCGTTTGTGCAGTTCCGTTCACATCGTACAAACTGAGCGTTTGTGCAGTTCCGTTCACATCGTACAAACTGAGCGTTTGTGCAGTTCCGTTCACATCGTACAAACTGAGCGTTTGTGCAGGTCCGTTCACATCGTACAAACTGAGCGTTTGTGCAGTTCCGTTCACATCGTACAAACTGAGCGTTTGTGCAGTTCCGTTCACATCGTACAAACTGAGCGTTTGTGCAGTTCCGTTCACATCGTACAAACTGAGCGTTTGTGCAGTTCCGTTCACATCGTACAAACTGAGCGTTTGTGCAGTTCCGTTCACATCGTACAAACTGAGCGTTTGTGCAGTTCCGTTCACATCGTACAAACTGAGCGTTTGTGCAGTTCCGTTCACATCGTACAAACTGAGCGTTTGTGCAGTTCCGTTCACATCGTACAAACTGAGCGTTTGTGCAGTTCCGTTCACATCGTACAAACTGAGCGTTTGTGCAGTTCCGTTCACATCGTACAAACTGAGCGTTTGTGCAGGTCCGTTCACATCGTACAAACTGAGCGTTTGTGCAGTTCCGTTCACATCGTACAAACTGAGCGTTTGTGCAGTTCCGTTCACATCGTACAAACTGAGCGTTTGTGCAGTTCCGTTCACATCGTACAAACTGAGCGTTTGTGCAGTTCCGTTCACATCGTACAAACTGAGCGTTTGTGCAGTTCCGTTCACATCGTACAAACTGAGCGTTTGTGCAGTTCCGTTCACATCGTACAAACTGAGCGTTTGTGCAGTTCCGTTCACATCGTACAAACTGAGCGTTTGTGCAGTTCCGTTCACATCGTACAAACTGAGCGTTTGTGCAGGTCCGTTCACATCGTACAAACTGAGCGTTTGTGCAGTTCCGTTCACATCGTACAAACTGAGCGTTTGTGCAGGTCCGTTCACATCGTACAAACTGAGCGTTTGTGCAGTTCCGTTCACATCGTACAAACTGAGCGTTTGTGCAGTTCCGTTCACATCGTACAAACTGAGCATTTGTTCAAGAGCATACAGGTCTGAATATCACATACTACTAATGATCGTTACTGCTCCTTGCCTGTATTTGATATGAAATTCCATGAGTTATGATTACTCCTTATTTAAGATTCGCACTTGTCAATGTGTTAACTGCGTTAACCGTGTTAGGTTACGTTGTAAATCATGCTATTTCTCCTGATTTTAGTAATAAATATTTGGTATTTTAACGTACATTTTCTCCAGCACTACTTTATTATCGTAAATATTTGATATTTCAATAGACCGTTTTCCTTTGAACCGGGCTAAGATGAGGAAGTAGCTAGAGCCTGATGTTGTTGTTGTGTCTATAATCATTCTTTCGTCTTTGAGAGAATTGAATAATAATAAAATCGTATATTATTACAATTTAAATATCACTAAAGTTTACACACTCTACCTCACTAAACTGTAATTTTGAGGTGTAATAATGGCTGCTTACGGTACACGTATAGCCTTGCTCTTTACAAAGGTGAAACGTTGTACACTATCACTATACACTATACACTATATACTGTACACTATACGATGTACACTATACACTGTACACTATCACTATACACTATACAGTATACACGGTACACTATACACAATATACACTGTACACTATCACTATACACTGTACACTATATAATACACTATCACTATACACTATACACTATATACACTGCACACTATACACTACATAACACTTTACACTATACACACACTATACACTATACACACACTATACACTATACACTATCTCGTGTACTGTATGTAGTAACATTTCAAATTGTACACTCTCGAGCATTTGGTAATTTTACCTCACTCAATATTACCTTATATGGTTATATTACTTTATATGGCAATGATTCTGATTACGATGACGTAATCATAACGTGTTGTTTCCTAAGGGACATACTGGGGAAAGCCTGACGAGACTGTTAGGACAGCGTCATATCAAAATACTGGAGAAAATAGAGATTTTAAAGGTACAAAGAGCGTGATAAGTGAAGCACCAAACCCCCCCCCCCCCCCCCCCCGGTGATTAATCTGTGTTTATTGAATTATCTAACAGATAAAAACACTATGAAAGTCACGAAGAAACTAAATGGCTAATCTTGTCAACCAACATATTTAATCTCAGGAAGAAGACTACCTCGAGCAGACGTCCGAACAACATGAACAGGTAAATACAAAGATACAATATACACTATACAATATACACTATACAATATACACTATACAATATACACTATACAATATACACTATACAGGGGGGGCCAATGGCATAAAATGGCATAAAATGGAGACTTTTTCTATGGAGAAAATGGAAAAACCCATGAGTAATTCTCCATTTTCTCCATTTTATGCCATGAATTTTGTCTTCGAAATTTCATCTTTAACACCATTTAACACCTAAATTGGACATCCTAACATGTTTATTTACGCTTACTAGGGGCGTAACAAGCTTATGAAAGCTCATAGTAGGCTACTAGATGCTTATACTAGGTTAGTAGAGGCACACTTCAGGCAAACTCATAATTACTCAAGCCTAGTGTAAAGTTATTTCTACAGGCTACAGCAGGAGTGAGTAATAGGGGAGAGTAATAGGCACTGAGAAGTGAGACCTACATCCTCGAAAGTCGAAACAAGCTCGCACTGCAAAGGGGAGGCCTGCCTTCCGAGATCGCATTACCAGGGGGAAGCCTCGAGTCCAAATTTGTGTATCGACTATCGAGGGGTAGGTGCAGACTTCGATAAACCGAAAAACCAAAAAAATATTTTCGGCTAATAATGAAGAGGGTAGCATAAAACGTGGAGAAAAGTGGTTTTTAGAAAAACTTTGAAACATTTTGACTTAGGAAATTTTCGGCCCGAGCCATTCTCGATACGTTCCTCTCGTATCGAGAGTTCCCGATTCCGAGCTCGTGTTGCAAAGGGGAGGCCTGCCTTCCGAGATCGCATTACCAGGGGGAAGCCTCGAGTCCAAAATTGTGTACCGAGGGGTAATTTTCTTAGTCAAAATTTTTCAAAGTTTTTCTGAAAAACACTTTTCTCCACGTTTCATGCTACCCTGTTCATTATTTGCCGAAAATATTTTTTTCCCCTCGATACACAATTTTGGACTCGAGGTAATGCGATCTCGGAAGGCAGGCCTCCCCTTTGCAACACGAGCTCGGAATCGGGAGCTCTCGATACGGGATGTACGTATCGAAAATGACTCGGACCGAAAATTTTCTAAGTCAACATTTTTCAAAGTCTTTCTGAAAACCACTTTTCTCCATGTTTCATGATACTCTGTTCATTATTGGCCGAAAATATCTTTTTTTTAAATAATTTTTCTCGAAATTCTAAATTTTTCAGGTTTTCAATGGCATAAAATGGCATAAAATGGCATAAAATGGAGACTATTTCTATGGAGAAAATGGAAAAACCTATGAGTAATTCTCCATTTTCTCCATTTATGCCATTGGCCCCCCCCCACTATACAATATACACTATACAATATACACTATACAATATACATTATACAATATACACTATACAACAGGTGAATTATTACTAAAGTTCAGCTAGGGTAAAGGAAAAAGTATCTCAGCATCTGGTTTAGTCGTCCCATTTCCATATAATTCATTATAACTAATACCACCAATCCCAGAAGGCAAAGGGGACAGAAGATGTGGTGGTAGAAAATGTGGTGGTAAAAAATGTGGTGGTAGAAGATATCAAGTCACCAGACCCCGTCATGCAGGTACTTAAAGTAGAGGCCAAGTAAAGTAGAGGGCAAGTAAAGTAGAGGGCAAGTAAAGTAGAGGACAAGTAAAGTAGAGGGCAAGTAAAGTAGAGGGCAAGTAAAGTAGAGGGCAAGTAAAGTAGAGGACAAGTAAAGTAGAGGGCAAGTAAAGTAGAGGGCAAGTAAACTAGAGGGCAAGTAAAGTAGAGGGCAAGTAAAGTAGAGGGCAAGTAAAGTAGAGGGCAAGTAAAGTAGAGGGCAAGTAAAGTAGAGGGCAAGTAAAGTAGAGGGCAAGTAAAGTAGAGGGCAAGTAAAGTAGAGGGCAAGTAAAGTAGAGGGCAAGTAAAGTAGAGGACAAGTAAAGTAGAGGGCAAGTAAAGTAGAGGGCAAGTTAAGTAGAGGGCAAGTAAACTAGAGGGCAAGTAAAGTAGAGGACAAGTAAAGTAGAGGGCAAGTAAAGTAGAGGACAAGTAAAGTAGAGGGCAAGTAAAGTAGAGGGCAAGTAAAGTAGAGGGCAAGTAAAGTAGAGGGCAAGTAAAGTAGAGGGCAAGTAAACTAGAGGGCAAGTAAAGTAGAGGGCAAGTAAAGTAGAGGACAAGTAAAGTAGAGGACAAGTAAAGTAGAGGACAAGTAAAGTAGAGGGCAAGTAAAGTAGAGGGCAAGTAAAGTAGAGGGCAAGTAAAGTAGAGTGCAAGTAAAGTAGAGGGCAAGTAAAGTAGAGGACAAGTAAAGTAGAGGGCAAGTAAAGTAGAGGGCAAGTAAAGTAGAGGGCAAGTAAAGTAGAGGGCAAGTAAACTAGAGGGCAAGTAAAGTAGAGGGCAAGTAAAGTAGAGGGCAAGTAAAGTAGAGGACAAGTAAAGTAGAGGCCAAGTAAAGTAGAGGCCAAGTAAAGTAGAGGCCAAGTAAAGTAGAGGCCAAGTGGCAGCATTATGCATTGTATTTTATCTTCGGAGAAAATAGCAAAAAACTTTCACCATGGAAAAAATCGAAGATTTGTGATTCTAGCATAAATAGCGATCTGCGCACTGTTTATCCCCAAGGCAAGGTTATAATACAAATTTATCCCAGGAAACTGTAGTTGCTGAGAGAAGTAACGTGTTAAACCACGTTAAGAAACCTAAGCTAAGTCTAGAGGAGGTGCTGCTACAACACCAAGCTGCAGCTACAGCCGGGAGAGCCAGTACCCCTAAAAACGCTTGGAAGACTCACAACTCTACTTTCAACCAGGCTAAACAGCAACGCATCCGCACTACTAACCGTACTCCGGGCCGCCGAGCTTGTTAAATCATACTCATTAGCTCTGGAATTGGTTTGACTATTTTACTCTGGCTGTGGCGGTTTATGTTACTTCGGCCTTTTGGTGACAAAAATTAAATAGAGATTCTGGAAACTAACTTTTTTCTCTCAAATTGTTAAAATTAAGAACGAACAATTTGGAGTAGCGTCGGTAAACCTTTATAACACTTTCTTTTACTTGGCTGCTTCACGCGACTTTTTTTGCATTTGTCAAAATTATATTTGCATTACAAGCTACAACCTTTTTTAAATTTACAAATCTTTCCAAAGATTTCAACTATTTTGCATGATGTTTTTAATGATTTTTGTTGAACAGATTCTCGTGTAATTGATTCCTCTTTATTTTCTTGGGTGAAGATTTAGATGTAATATATCTTCATGTTTTTTAATGTGCTAATGGTATTTCTATTTCTGATAGTTATTGTTTCTGATTTAAGAACGGGTCAAATGAACACTTACTACGTACGTTGGTAACAACGCATAATATTATTCGTTTTTTTAAACGATGCATCAACTGAAGTAGTTATTGATAACAATTTCTATTTCAATATACCCCCACCCCGGCCCCCATTTCAAGCACTAACCAAGGCAGTTTAAGGACGAATCTAGTAGTGAGCGCCTGAAAAGGGTAAGCCACATCAATCTTCTCAACTCTCCACCCCATAAAGGAGCCGGTAGCAGGGCTCACGCAAACAACCATGTCGAAACTCTGAGGGGAATATTATTCAAACTGAGAAGCTATTAGCGACAAGAGAAACGCCATTGTTGGACGTTAAATATTTTTAAAAATATAAAAATAAGACGGCTTTTGAGAATAAAATGGTCACTAACCTTGTACCAGTATTTGAGAAGTTGAGACTCAGTGTATTGGTATTCTCTCATGTCCTTGACTTTTCCCATCTTCAGCTCCAACATCTCCTTCTTTATCGGCACATTAGGCTGGTCAGTGTCAGACACAACAAAGTCCTCCTCCTCTGCAATATCGTAGGAACTGACGGACAATCCTTCAGAGAGCATCAGCTCCCCTTTCAGCCGGGCGTTCTCCAAACAAACACTGAAACATGTTGAAGTGAGCAGATGTGTTAGACTTGTTGCGGAGTAGGGAAGTGAGCAGATGTGTTAGTTGCGGAGTAAGGAAGTGAGCAGATGTGTTAGTTGCGGAGTGAGGAAGTGAGCAGATGTGTTAGACTTGTTGCGGAGTAAGGAAGTGAGCAGATGTGTTAGTTGCGGAGTAAGGAAGTGAGCAGATGTGTTAGTTGCGGAGTAAGGAAGTGAACAGATGTGTTAGTTGCGGAGTGAGGAAGTGAGCAGATGTGTTAGTTGCGGAGTGAGGAAGTGAGCAGATGTGTTAGTTGCAGAGTGAGGAAATGAGCAGATGTGTTAGTTGCGGAGTTAGGAAGTTTCTAGAAAGAAAGGAATACCTAGAAGGAACCTGTAAGAATGTACTGGACTATAACCTGTAAGAATGCGCTTTGTTGTTGAACCATTGGAATATGTAGGGAGATCCTTCAATCTTCTTTTCAGTTGACTCCTTTAATGGGTCCAACACAGTGCCTGGAGAGTGTTTCAATTTCAGTAAATAACTCATTACCGTTAATCATCACCTCTAATACTCGCACTCAACCTAATTAACCATAGAAATACATGTAGATGAGCTAGAAAGTACCTAGCACGAATGACTTGGTAATAGAATGTCTAGCAGAAATAGAGGGATGAACACTTGGAGCCTCCAGCCAGATCCTCCCGATACAGTCGTGACAGGATGTCAAGAGGACTTGTCTCACTGAGTCACTGGAAATGAGGGTCGTTAGCAAAACATAAAGAGTTCGCATACTTATTGTAAACGTTATCACTTATATATGTTAGAAATCACGTGATTTGCTTTCCCCTACCCCACCCCCCCCACACTCACACACACTCACAACTTACACAGGGAGCTCAGGAGAGACAGCCCGCCAACAAGCTCCGATAACAACGTCAGGATGCAGAATCAGTTCACTCCTGTAATCCTTGCCTCCTGAAAAACATCATTTTCTATCGTGACAACATTACTCAATGTGACAGCTAATTTCTTATCGGTCTTCTCACTCAACATCAAATGTAATGGCTAGATGGCAGATGTAAATAACAATTCACGGCGTTTTTATCTGATAGAGCTGCATAATTTAAAATATGAAGTGACGTGCGCGCGACCAACTAATTATAAACATCTCCGCGCATTCCTGCAACCATCATCTGTAGACCGTTTTCCGCATACCTCCAGAGTATTTACTCTCGGTTTTTCTGGCACGGCCACTTTTAAATTGCCTATTACCGTCCTATTACCAGTATTATTCTACCCTATCCTATCTTATTCTGGCTTATCGAGAATTGAGCCGTCAGATATAGATGGGGGCAAGCGTGCCATAAATGGAGGCGTGTCACAAATATTGAGAATACATTGCCTCCCTGGCTATTTTGAAAATTGTTCCCGTACCTTTCATCTTCTTCCATAGTTTTATAACTTTAGAGTTCCGGGACAGGGTTGTAAAGAATCTGCCGTCTGGAGAAACAGTTACTTGGCTGGTTTCTTCTGTCAAACTAGGATTATACAGGGTTAACTTAAATTGCTTTTATTCCCATTTGTATGAAAACATACAGAAACACACAGTAACACACAGAAACACACAGAACAAAGCATAAGCACTTGGTAACCCTTTTAACGCTCCCCACACTTACTGGGTACTCCAGGCGCACTTCCAATCTGCAGTTCTGTAGATAAGAAGCTCAGTGCCCGTCACTATAAGCTCACTTCCATCGTTATTGAATGTAGCACACGCTACACGTGACCCTATAGATAGTGTGTACGATACACTCCACGTGTAGGGGTATTCCTGGAATGTTATAATCTGAGAAACGGGAAAATATAATCTATATCCTGGTTTTTGTACACTTTTACATTTCAAAGAAGCGAATATGATCAACACTTGCTGGACAAGATGGGAAACACATATATTTTATTCGCATCTTATGAGGACTGTAATACCTGATAATATAATATAAACACTCTATGAAATAAAACTATTTGAACTCCTGAAGTACCTCAATATTCAAATATTATAGGCCATTACTTACATCATCATCTACTGAAGACTGAGCTGATAGAATGTACACTGAATGGGACGAAACAGCACCGATCTGATGGCAGGTGTGTAAGTTATTATTCCAACTTAATCTATTATCTGTGTATTTATTAATGTATTTTAAATGATTCTAAATTATTTGCAATTGAATACGAGAAAACATGGAACAGTCAAAGCTTCTCAACTTCACTACATTTATTTAAATATTGAGACATGTCAATAAAAGAGTGTAAAAGTAACTGACCCTGCCAGATAGCGGACACAGTGTGATAGCTGTTATCTGAGATCTGCAGCCGCTAATGTTGCTTATAAGCTGTACTCTGTGAAACGCATCGTCTAGTACAACAATATCACACCCTGTACAGTACACCTGGACAAGGAGGGGTTAACAACAATATCACACCCTGTACAGTACACCTGAACAAGGAGGGGTTAACAACAATATCACACCCTGTACAGTACACCTGAACAAGGAGGGGTTAGCAACAATATCACACCCTGTACAGTACACCTGAACAAGGAGGGGTTAACAACAATATCACACCCTGTACAGTACACCTGACAAGGAGGGGTTAACAACAATATCACACCCTGTACAGTACACCTGAACAAGGAGGGGTTAACAACAATATCACACCCTGTACAGTACACCTGAACAAGGAGGGGTTAACAACAATATCACACCCTGTACAGTACACCTGAACAAGGAGGGGTTAACAACAATATCACACCCTGTACAGTACACCTGAACAAGGAGGGGTTAACAACAATATCACACCCTGTACAGTACACCTGAACAAGGAGGGGTTAACAACAATATCACACCCTGTACAGTACACCTGAACAAGGAGGGGTTAACAACAATATCACACCCTGTACAGTACACCTGAACAAGGAGGGGTTAACAACAATATCACACCCTGTACAGTACACCTGAACAAGGAGGGGTTAACAACAATATCACACCCTGTACAGTACACCTGAACAAGGAGGGGTTAACAACAATATCACACCCTGTACAGTACACCTGAACAAGGAGGGGTTAACAACAATATCACACCCTGTACAGTACACCTGAACAAGGAGGGGTTAACAACAATATCACACCCTGTACAGTACACCTGAACAAGGAGGGGGTTCAACAATATCACACCCTGTACAGTACACCAGGACAAGGAGGGTTAAAACAACAATATCACACCCTGTACAGTACACCCTGAACAGGAGAGGTTAAACAACAATTATCACACCTGTACATAAACCTGAACAAGGAGGTGTTAACACAATAACACACCCTGTAAGTACCACCTGAACAAGGAGGGGTTAACCAACCATGATCACACCCTGTACATACACCTCAACAAGAGGATAACAACAATATCATACCCTGTACAGTACACCTCACAAGGAGGGGTTAAACAACAATTATCACACCCTGTGTTCCTGAAACAGTACAACCACTCTGAACAAGGATGGGGATCAGTACTATCGTATCTGAAACGTGACGTCGAATAGATAATTGTAATTTTGGAATTTTTTCAAAAGAACCCACCCACGGCCCTTCACGGTACTAACTGTTTTTTTCGGATGATAATTAAGACACCAATCCCCTTTTGCCGTACTAAATGTTGAAAAATCGCGGTACTAACTGTGTCTTGGGTAATTACAGATAAGATACACACCCAGAAATTGCATTGAACAGCTCATTAAAAGACTTAGTTCCGACTTAGTAGTAAGTATAGTAGTTTTTGGCAAATAGACCTAAGACCCATTATTTAGACCAAGTGTTGTATACTGTTATGTTTTCAAGAATATATTTATTGTTTAAATAGATGGTTATTTGTTTTAGATGATTTAAGGATTCTGTAGTCACAAATCACAATCACATCATGCTCCACTGCACATTATGTTTCACATCAAATAACAAGCACCTAGCACAATCCACATACAGCACCATTCACTTCATATGCACAAAGGATCAGCACAGATCATTTCACCTTGTGAGATTCATAACAACTTATCACTCGTCATTGTCACGGTGTTCACTTCACCGCGACTTTCACAACCATCAAATAGTAGCTTCAATGTCCCCAGTCACGAATCATTCGTCACGTGTCATAACCATATATAAGTATGTCCGTTTTAAAATTATTTGAGAGGATCATGTTATCGACAGTTCAGTATTAATCTTCTCTATGCCTATAGTTCTTTTGTATAAATCTTTATTACTACATTCTAGAATAAATACTCATAGTTAATCTTGTTCCTTTGACAACGAACCTCGTCAAACACCATGAACTAACTGTTTTTCAGGTGGGGGGGGGGGGGGGGGCTGGGAAAATGGAGCAGCGAGACCCAGTACCGCGGCAGTCGGGCACCTATTTACCCCCCCCCCCCCCGTTAAAAGTTACTTCGGCACTGTTAATTGTTTTAAACCCCCCCCCCCCCCGGTACAGTACTCGGCACCCTGATACCCCTCCCCCCCCCCCGGTACAGTACTCGAGCCACCTAAATAACCCCCCTCCTCCGGTACAGTAACTCGGCACCTAATGACCCTCCCCCCGGTAACAGTACTCAGCACCTAATACCTCCCCACCCCCCCCCGGAACAGTACTCAGCACCTAATACCCCTCCCCCCCGGTATCAGTACTCGGCACCGCTATACCTCCCCCCCCCCCGGTACAGAACTCGGCACCTAATAACCTCCCCCCCCCGGTACAGTACTCGGCACCAAATACCCCCAAACCATACCCCCTCCCCCCGGAACAGACCAGCACCTAATACCTCCCCCCCCCAGGTACCCAAGTACTCGGTCACCTAATATCCCCCCCCCCGGTACAGTACTCGGCACCTGATACCCCCCCGTACAGTACTCGGCACCTGATACCCCCCCCCCCCGTACAGTAACTCGCACCTGATACCCCCCCCCCCTTTCGGTACAGGTACTCTCGGCAACCTGATACCCACCCCCCCCCGTAACAGTACACGCACCATATTATACCCACCCCCCCCCCCGGAACAGATACACTGCCCTAGATACCACCCCCCCACGGTACAGTACACGCACCTGCTACCCCTCCACAGTACGTACAGTACTCGGCACCTGATACCCCCAGAACAGTACAGTACCGCACCTGATACCCCCCATTACGTACTCGGCACCTATAACCCCCCAGTACAGTACTCGCACACTGATACCCCGCCCGGTTCAGTACGCTCGCACCTGATACCCCCCCCCCCCGTACAGTACTCGATGCACCTGATACCCACCCCCGCCCCCCGGTACAGTCCTCGGCACCTGATAACCCACCCCCCACCCCCCGGTACAGACTCGGCCCTGAATACCCCCCTGTACTGTACTCGGCACCTAATACCCCCCACCCCGGTACAGTACTCGCACCTGATACCCCCCCCCCCCCGTAACGTACTCGGCACCTGATACCCCCCACCCCCGGTACAGTACGCGGCACTGACCCCCACCCCCCCCCCCCCCGTCATAAACACGGCACCTGATACTCCCCGTACAGTACTCCTCGGCACCTAATAACCCACCCCCCGCCCGCCCCCCGGTAACAGTACTCCGGCGCCCTAATACCTCCCCCCCCCGGAATAGTACACGCACCTAATACCTCCCACCTCCCCCCCCCCACCCCGGTTACAGTACTCGGCACCTAATACTCCCCCCCGCCCCCCGGTACAGTAACTCGGTACCTAATACCTCCTGTGTGCTATTAGCCCCACAAATGCAACAAAAAACCGTTTATCCTACACCAATGCAGGAGCAGTTGGAGCTACAGGGGGGTCTGGGGGCTCTATGCCCACTAATTGTACATACCGTGTATCCTATCCATGCAGGAGCCAGTTGCGCTACTGTAGAGTTGCCCGTTGTTAGGCGCCCCTGATACACCTGCTGCATCTCATATTTAACAGAGCATCTTCTCCTTACATATCTCCTTGGAAAGGGGATTATTTTACTAATATCAAACAGATTGTTTAGTTTACTCCCTTTATTAAAATATTTCCAATGTTGATTAAGAATCTTCCTTAGGACGCAAAAATTAGAGCATTGATAGAAATTATAAGGAAACTCAATATTGTAAATCAATGAACTTAGGCATCAATCACGGGAAACCAAATTAATCGTAAAAAGGTGTAACAAAATGACCAATAAAAGCTCAAGTAAATGAAATATTCAATGTCTGGAAGTCACACAATGAGTAGCTTGTGGTTTAGTTTCTTTAATGAAACGTGACGTCCACATAATGTCCACAATAATCTAAGTTAGATAAACATAAGTTAATAGAATTCCACAAATGAAGGCAGGAGAGCTAAGTCTGAGAAATCAGGATCTATTGCATCATTGAATGAGCAAATTATACAATAGTATAACTGCTGCCATTCCAATAAAACTGTAGAATTAAAATCCTTGCCTCAAATACCCAAAGACCAATTAAAAAATGTTTTGCAAAAATAAAATCGTGGTTCAACTACATGTAATAAATTAATTGAAAAAAAACGAATCTAGAAAATTGGTGTTTGAAGAACCAGAAGTGTCAGATAAGTGTAAGCATCCACCCTGAGGTTACAGATAAGTGATATAGCATCACCCCTGGGTGCTGTCATCATTTGACAGAAGTCCTGGAGGTCTGCCATAACTGACAGATTAAACGTTTGTACACAACACATACTTCCACCTGCATTGTAATCCTACAAACAGTGCTGACACGTGTGGGCAGCATCTAGCTTTCTTGCTTCTGTCGTTTACCAGCTCCAGCGCTTTCTTGAAACAACTCCAAGCTTCGGGGTACTCTGCATCTGAATCGTAGATCAT